TGTTTAGTACTGTAGTACTCACTGTGGTAGTATTTGGTAGAGTAGAGCCTCAGCCTTGCGTTTCTCTTCGTGATACGCTTGCGTTCGTTCTTCCACCAGCTCCTCCAGGTTGTTGGCGTACTGCTCCATACGAGACAGAAGGTTGTCCAGGATGTTGGTCCTCGACTCCCTGCACACACACACACACACACACACACAGACACACACACAGACACAGACACACACACAGACACACACACACACACACACACACAGAGACACACACACATACTTTTAAATGTCTGATCTGTTTTCTTCATCAAAAATTGATTAAAATCTCTTTGAATTTTTTTTAAAACACCGAGATGACGCTGGACAAAATGTTGAACTGTGGCTTCAGATCATCACAGCTGACGTCAGGTTGGAAAGACCCTCGAGAGGTTCCAGTGAGCAGATGCACATCCTGAGAAAATGTTTTACTCTATTCATTTATCACTTCATCCTCATTAGAGAAAGTAACACCCGACAGGACGATACCACCTCCAACCACAGGTGGCGCCGTCACACATTTTGAGGACAAAAACAAAGACAGATGACGAAGTTGATTATTGGCGAACGTCTGCACAAACCAGTCGGAGCCATATTTGAATGATAGCGTGTTTTTTTTTTTGCTCTTCTTGTCGTCTGATCTTACTTGTTCTGTTTTCGCAGCAGCAGTTGAATGTGGCTGAACTCGGGCCTCTCCGTCGGCTCCTCAGCCCAGCAGCGCTGCATCAGCTGACCCAGCTCTGGACTGTGAATCTGAGGGTCGACGGTCGGTCTCAGGCACGGCCACTCGCCCAGAACCACCCGGTCCACGATCTCTGCAGAGGGAGGGTCAGAGGGGTGAACTGTCTCCTGCAGACCTTTTTTAGATGACGTGTTCACGAAAACTTTATGTACAAAACTAGCTGCATCCGGCCACTAGGTGTCGCTGGACTGGAGGTGACACAAAAATACTTTCCTCTCAGAGCAACAGGTGAGAAAAATTCACCCATTTTTAGAGATAAAAAACTGTTTAGTTTCCATTCTACTGATGTTTCTGAAACTTCTCCTCGTTTCTCGGCACCGATTTCTGTTTTAAATAAGTGAAACCTCGATGGACGGAGCTCCGCTCTTCAGTGTGGGTGGTTGAAGTCCAGGAAAAGTGTTGGAGACAAAGACCGGAGCGATGTCCAGCTGGCTCATCGTCGCTGCTCACTTTCCCAATATTTTAATGTCTGAATGAAAACGTGTCTATTTTGACTTTTCTATTTCTGAGCTCAGCTGTGAGACGAGCTAAGACGATCGTGTCTCAGCTCTGTGGACAGAAACATTAGTAGAAGCACATGCTCTGTACCTTTCGGGCTGAGCGGCTCTCCCTCCAGGTAAAAGGCTCCTCGGCGCAGCGCCACCTCCTGGAGGATGATGCTGAAGCTGTAGACGTCTCCTTTCTGAGTTCCCTGAGGGGGGGGGGACTCCATCCTGAGCAGCTCTGGAGCCATCCACAGTCTCTCTGCGGGGGTTGCACTGCATTACATTACATCTGTGCGTTTGTTTCACTTCAACTCCTCGATCATGAGAACGTTTCTTCATTTAAAATGATAAAACAGCAGTTTTGGGTTTTAAAAAACTTAAAATTTTATTGATGAATAAATATAAATATGTTTTGTAGTGAGGCTGAATCAGTCTGTTGTCAAACTCTAAATAAAATAACCTTCACTTCCTCCCACTGCACGAAATGAAGCCAAAATATCTCTGAGACAAACGTCCTCTGGATTCAGAGTCTAATGATCGTGTTGAGGAGCCGCGGTGTCAACGTCCCACTCTGTGTTTAATTTACAGTCTAGGAGTCAAGTGGTTTAACAGCTGAGGCGGAGACTCACGGGAATAGTAGGCGTGAGCGTCGTTCCCCGAGTCGCCGTCATAGCGAAAACTGGACAAACCGTAGTCTGTGATTTTCAACACGAAGCGATTGTCGACAACACAGTTGGACGACTTGAGTTTACCGTGAGAGACGATGACGCTGTTGTGGAGGAAGACCATACCCTGAGAGAGACAGAGAGAGAGACAGATAGTGAGAGAGACAGACAGAGAGAGAGACATACAGAGACAAGACAGAGACAGAG